GAATGTCGAGGATGATCATTGTTACGTGGAGGCTTACCATGAAGCGCCCAACAAACATCTCGTGTATGTCCTCCCCTCCCTTATCACAGTATGTGCAATGTTTAGAGTAGTACTCCGAAGCAGGGCACTGCTATTCGTTAAAAAACTCCACAGCAGCCACAACAAACACAATGGTAGCTGCTTGATGTAAGAACTCATCTAGTTTAGGTTGAAGATGAGAATTCCCTGGGAGATCAACAGTGTTCGGTCTTGAATTTCCCTTCTGCGGAAAAATCAAAACAGGTATGATTACTAATTTCTGAAACCAATTCACAGATTAAGGTTTTGAGTTGAATATGAATAGAAAGTAAGAAAATCAGTCCTAATATCATGGATGTTGAGAAGATGAAAATGCTAGGAAAAGAAAAATAAATGATGATCACCATCTTGTTTCTTCCCGGCTATGGTACAAAAGTGCCTTCGTTTGTTTCATTTGATGTCACAGTACATCTCTAAGCTAATATTGGCAGAATGTAACATAACAGTTAGAAGTGTATAGAGCTCATGGCACATCATATAAATACTCTACATTAACTGGAAGAAGAGGAAAGTGTACCTACTTCCTCTGGGTCCAGTGAATACAAAGGTATTAGCTGTGTTATGTGTGGCATGTGCATGGAGCATGGGCGTGCAACATGTGCAGTGCATGCACAAGACATGTGCGCAGCATGAGTGTCAGGGCTTGTCCGCTTGATGCCAATGAACGGGCAATCAAGCGCCACGGCAGGCAGTTGGCATAACCATGCTCAGTACATGGGGCAGTTGGGCGGCTGAAGGCAAATGCTATCTTGAAGGATTGTTGGCAATGTCTGATTGTAGTTATTTATTCATAGTGTTATATTTTTTCTTCATATGCGCCTTTTAAAGCATGAATGCTTTATGCTTCAAGCCCCAATAGATCTTGGTGTTTTTGTCTGTTTTTGCCTTTGACATTTCTTTCATATATGTTGTCTTAGTTTCTGATTTCTTGCAGTATGCTGGTCAATAATTAAATAGTACTCCCTCCTTTGACTCGGCATGGAGTTCAATATTTTTTTTTTTTTGAAACTTGTTATCTTAAAAGCTTAAGGGGTAAAAGCTTTGTAGGGCTATGACATTTGTGTGGTTATAAAAGCTTCTCATTAAGGATAAAATGGATAAAATGAAGAGTTTAAAGTTGAATTATTTCCAATTGTAGAAATGTGTTATTCTTTTTGGAACGGACTAATAAGGAAAATGTCATCTAAATTGAAACAGATGGAGTATATGCCTTTGTTATGATACCAATAGCTCAATTGCTAGAATTAACTCTTTCAAGAATCAGACTCCTATAACATAGCAGAACATTTTAGTTGCTCAAAGTAAATGATTGATTAGGGTACATACCAGTCGTGCCAATTTAGGTTCCTCTATTTCTTTGAAATCTATGAATTGTATCTGATACTTTCTGCACATGTTTTGTTTTTATGATCAGTGCTTTCTGCACATAAACTATAAGGTCATTGTGTTTCTGTGTCATGATATGTGCCATTACTGAGATTTTGTACTCCTCCTGCAAATTAATAGTGGGTGTTTTCTTCTGACATGACTGAATGCGGTAAGTTTTCAGCTGAATATATTCTTAGTGTTGCATTAGTTATGCAGAGGCCATTTTTTCTTATGTGGCCAATCAATCATTGTATTTGTTTATGGATTTAATACTTGTATTGTTTTGCTAATGTGACCAGCCTAATGACACCATTGTGTTAGTTTATGACGGGTTTCATGCAAAAATTATTTTACTAATGTAGCCAATCAGATTATCCCTTAGGGTAATGCACCTGTAATAACTTTTGAGAGAGTGTTAAGTTGAGAATCATTTATTAGAATAGTTAACATTACAGGGAAAACCAAACTAGACAGTCACAAATTGTGACTCACAATAAAATATCTTGCACATGTAAAAGAGTTGAGATATAGCAGCTAAAAGACTCAACAGATATCTAATCAAATTACTGAAATTCAATACTGAATCTGACATCAGAACTTTATATGCGGCTCCCATTCATTCTAGTTCTGATATTTCACTTAACTCTTCCCTAGAAGGGCATGCAATCACTCCAGCTCCTAGGTGGTTGGTGTATCTTGCTGTAAAAGGAGGAGGAATAGTTAAACTGCTCCCATTTCCTTCTAGCATTTGTGTAACAATTTTGATGGAAGGTCGATCAGTTGCGTTCCATTGGATGCACCAAAGTCCTATAATAGCCAATTTCCTTGCAATTATGATATCATCATCTTCCTCTATCCTGATTTTCAACTCTTCTCCTTCATTCAGCCGTTGATGAATCCACTCAGAAAAGTTCACTTGGCTATTACTGGCCTTTGCGTCAAAATTCTTCCTCCCTCAAACCATTTCAAGTAGCAGCATACCAAAGCTATAGACATCAGATTTATGAGACGCTTTTCCAAAATTGCTGGATAATACTTCTGGTGCAATATAACCCATGGTTCCTCTAGCTTCAGTCATGGTTACAACACTTTTCTCTTTAGAGCATAACTTGGCAAGACCAAAATCAGAGATCTTTGGGTTCAAGTTATGGTCTAACAGAATATTTTGGGGTTTGATATCGAAATGAAGGATTTGTTGGTCACATCCTTGATGAAGATATTCCAGTCCTTTAGCTATACCCATAGCGATATCGTGAAGCTTCTTCCAATTAAGGTTAATGTGATCTTTGGATCTTGCTGGAAAAATGAGTTTGTCAAGCGACTGATTTGGCAAATATTCATACACGAGAGCGTTTCTGAATCCATCAGCGCAATAGCCAACTAGGCGAATCACATTGAAGTGGTGGATTTTCCCCATTGCTGCAACTTCATTAATAAATTCTTCCCCATTTCCTATGGAGTCATTTAGCACTTTGACAGCAACATGAATTTCATTAGAAAGTGTTCCTTTATAAACAACCCCGTAAGCTCCCTCTCCCAATCGTTCGTGAAACATATTTGTTATCTTTTTAATCTCTGCATAAGTATATCTAGTGGGCCTGAGAGCTCTGTAGTCTTCCAGAAACTTCTCAACTCTAGCTTGATTCTCTCTTTCAATTTTGCTTGAGCTATAAAACTCATGGAGTGCCAACATAATAATTCCCAAAAGAAGAAATCCTAATACTCCACCTGGAAGATATCAACTCAGACATTATACAAAAGGTAAATGAATAAGGGAAATTCAAAATATGAGAACTGAAAGGCAAGAAGCACCAACCTGCAATCAATGGTTCCGTAAATCCGCCTGTCAGAATTACATTAAAAATCTTATTATGGCAAATAGAGAAGCACTTACATTATTAAAAAAAAAAAGAAAAAAAAAAAGAGAAGCACTTAATCATCAAATTTCAGAAAATTCTTATTACAGTATCAAACATGTCTTTACTAAGAGAGTGGTTTTTAATTTTTACTTACGTAAAATAATTTTTTCTGTTTCGAACTTGTAATGGTTTGGTTATTTAAGTTTTAGTTACTATATCAAATATGCATTCCATTGTTATGTTCTAGAATTTGGTTTAGGCCAAATTAAGGATATATTTCATATCCAGATATAGGTTCTTTACTTTTTGGTTAATTGCTTGTATACGGGGTTTTCCCCCATCATTTGTATAATTATTTACCTTATTAAAAAATGATATCACATCCAAATCCATTACCATATTCAAGAACCAGATGGATTTGGAAAGATTGTAAATAAAATGTTTTAGTTATGATACATTCACTTTTGATATTATTATTTTATCAATTCTGCAATCAAAAGAGATCTTTGAATGAGTTAATACCTTTTGTAGTCGATGGTCTGTCGAAACACTTAGTTCCTAGTTGGTTGCTATAGTTCTTGAAACCACAATCCATTCCAAGACCTTCACTGTCGCCACACTTTGGATTTAACCAACTCATCCGGAGGGGATAATATCTTAGATCACAGGGAACGGATGAAATTTCCGCAATCTTTTTATAATGTGAACTACCAAGGTAGTATTCCAAAGGTTCTAAATTGCTGAGAGCAATTAATCCAATTTCAGGGGTTATAGAGCAACCATGTGAGCCAAAGTCACCATTTGATGAGATACTAGAACGACTAAAAAAGGAGAAGTTACAAAGAAGAGGCTCATCATTAAAGAGGAAAGGAGATGCTGAAAAGTTAAAATACAATAGGTTCACAATACAACTTGTCGGACAATAAAGCGTAATCTCCTGAGACGCATAATCAATATCCTCAACTATTAGTATAAGTGAATTGGGAAGGGTACTAAGTATGGTCTTATTGTTGGTACAAGATAGCTCAAAGCCAGGATATCCACAATGTTGGGGCTGATGTTGAAGCCTGAAGGGGAAACGAATGCTAGGGCCATCACTATTGCACCTAGACTCTTTGCAATCATTTGCTCCTTCACCAAACATAGCAAAGGATACCATGGCTATGAGAAATAAGTGCAAGATTAAAAAGAGGGCCATCTCGACTGAAAGACCTTGTAAGATGAAACTTGCAGTTGAGGTTGAAGTGCTAGGGACAACGATAGAAATTTTGCAAGTGCAGATTAAAGACTAGCATTAATCTGTCTACAGTGGATAATTTTTTTAGAAAATGTAAGAGAATTATTTACATTTATAACATATGAGGGAGTAGTGGTCAAGGAAGGTGTCCTTCTCTAGTGGAAATTTTACTAATATGTGTGGTACCCTTCCTCAGCATAAGTTTTAGACTGAGGTGATTCTCTGTTTGATCTGTCTACTCTCTACACTTCAAAATATTAAGAGAAGACTTACTGACTTGTCTTTCTTTGTGAAGACTTGGACTTAGTCTTTTATTCAATAACTTGGTTTTTCTTAATATTAAGAGAAGTGGTTTACTGCAGCACAATAGGGGGAGGGAGGATGAAATATATTTGATATAATTCACTCAAACATTTAGTGTTTGGCACCAGTACTAAAAAGAGTAAAACCCACAAAAACACACGCACAACTAACCATAATAATGTCTGGAAGAACCAGGTTTCTTACATTTCTTACCATCCTCATCTTCTGTGAAGCCCCATTTGCTGAACAGAACCAGCAGTGTGTCCCTTCTAGTTGTGGGCATATTCAGAACATCAGCTACCCTTTTCGATTGAAAACTGACCCAAAGCACTGTGGCGATGAAAAGTATGAACTTAGCTGTGAAGAGAATCGCGCAAAATTATATGGGTATGCGTCGGGCTTTGGATCGATGAATTACTACGTGCAAGCCATTAATTATGATAACTCCACAATCCGCATTGTGGATTCTGATATAAGAGAAGATCTTTGCTCTCTTCCTCAGCAGCAGTATTATGATAACTCCACAATCCGCATTATGGTTTCCAGTATACCCTCTATTTTTGAGACTTATAAGCGCAGTAATGGTATTCTGCTGGCAAAACCAATCACTATATTCAGCTGTCCATTTGCCATAAATTATCCAGGCATTGTAGAAATCACTAATTGTCTCAACAGGAGTTATGCTTCCAATACTTCTTTTGAATTATTAAAGGGACACACATATGCAACCATGGCCAAATTGTTGCCATCTGATTTGAGAGTAGGGTGTACTATAGACCTCATGTTAATGACTTCATGGCATACTGAGGATGCACGTATTTCCATTTTGGATTTACATAATGCTTTGGCATATGGGTTCGAACTTTCATGGTTTCCTGTTTACTGTAGCAAGTGCCAATATTTATTTGGCTGCGAAGGTGAAAATTCAAGGGATGTTCGCTGTCTGGATTTGAACTGCAAAGCTTACAATTTTAGATTCTTCAAAACCTTTTGTGGTAAGAACATTACCAATGTCATGCGAGAATTTAACACTTTTAGCAAATTTTCTGTGTAAGTTTGAAAGATCTCGCTCATTCATACTTTTTTCTTTTTTTTTTGGCTCTGGAATTTCTCTTTGGATGACCACAATCAAGTTGCTCAAAGACATGTTCTCCGCGTTCTTGAAAGTAAGCACTCGTTCTATTGTCAATTCTGGTTGTATACATGCTAGGATTGTATTAACGGTAAATAGTTGCAAGTGAGATTAACTGTGTTATTAATTGTTGGTGTTCTTGCAGGAATTATCCCATGGATACTTCCCATATTTGGTAAGCCAATTCTGTTGTCTTTAAAATTCATTGATTTGTTAGGAAGAGAAGAACTGAACTAAGACTACTGGATGCAGAGTAAAATTCTTAGTTGATTTAATATGGATGGTATAATAAAAATATAAAAGTAATAGTTTATTAGTATGATAAAGAAAGCACCATATCAAGTTTAAAATTTGAATAGCAAATTGTGTAAGCGGTACAGAATTATGAAATGATGTTAAACAGTTTTTAAAGTAGAAAGAATGTCATATAAATTGGAAATGAGATAGAGAACTTGGGACAATTGTGCTTTTCGTCTCTCAACTATTCATCCACTATCGTGTACTTACGAAATATGGTGACTACTGCTACTTTCGGAATCATTTTAGTTTGGAAATGACGGACTAAAAGTATTGAAATAGCTTCCTCATGATATACCTTCGCGGTTGCATTTTAATTTAACCATTCACAATCTTTTCTTGCTTACTTTATGATGGTTGCGCACAGGACTTAGCGTTGTGGCAAGAATCATAATATTCCCATGCATATTTGTGTTTCTATTGATTGAATTACGAAGAAGGCATTTGTCGATTTTTGATGCAATTGAAAGTTTCCTGCATAGTGAGAACAATTTCATGCCCATTCGATACCCCTACTCCAACATAAGGAAGATGACTAGGAATTTGAAGGAGAAACTAGGCCAAGGAGGTTATGGTTCAGTATATAAAGGCAAGCTCCGAAGTGGTCCTGATGTAGCAGTGAAGATCTTGAGCAAGCCTAAAGCTGATGGGCAAGACTTCATCAATGAGGTTGCCACAATCGGGAGGATTCATCATGTTAATGTAGTACAACTTATTGGCTATTGTGCTGAGAGATCTAAACGTGCCCTTGTATATGACTTCATGCCTAATGGATCACTTGACAAGTACATCACACCCCAAGTAGAAGGAACTCTACTAAGCTGGCAAAGAAAGTCTGAAATTGCTCTTGGAGTTGCTCGAGGTATTGAATATTTGCATCGAGGTTGTGACATACAAATTCTACATTTTGACATCAAGCCGCACAACATACTTTTGGATGAGAATTTCGTTCCAAAAATTTCTGACTTTGGTCTTGCCAAATTATACCCAACGGATAACAGCATTGTTACTCTAACAGCAGCAAGGGGAACAATTGGATATGTAGCTCCAGAATTGATCAACAGAAGCATTGGTCCTGTATCTTATAAGGCAGATGTTTATAGCTTTGGAATGCTGCTAATTGAGATGGCAGGCATGAAAAGAAACTCGGCAGCAAGAGAGGATATGTCAAGCCAGTATTTCCCACATTGGATCTATGATCAATTCGACAAGGAAAAAGAAATTGAAGTACTAGACGAGACGCATGATGATGAAAAGAAGATTATAAAGAAGCTAACTTTAGTTGCCTTGTGGTGCATACAAATGAATCCACTCTATCGTCCCTCAATGACTAAAGTAGTGGAAATGATTGAAGGCGAATTACAGGCTTTGCAAACGCCTCCTAGGCCTTCTGAATCACTGCAACCATCTCCGTTGGAATTCAATCTGAGTTCTTCAATAGGTTCAACTGAGTCTATGATATTGCTTGAGAATTGTTCAGATTCTGCAAAAGTAGATGTAATTATTGGTTGACATGTGAGTACCACAAACTGTAACTTCACATTATGTAATACTTGTGCTCTATCTTTATGTAACTTTCTATTTTTGTCTTTTATGCCTTTATGTGTAATGAACATGGTTTTTGCAAATTAGAGTAATGGCAGTTGTAAAAGAAAGTGTGGCTTTCACTACTTATTGTTCAGTCTCCCCATATTGTCTCTTACTATGAAAGGATGTACCAGAATTATCTTTTCAGAAATGTGCAAATAGCAGGGTGATTGACAGGAATGGCCCAAGGGGCTGGTCTTTAAATATTGTTTCCCTTTTTGAATGTATTTACAAACAAATCTCCAGTAGCTCTTTAGGGATTTCTCTACTGATCTGTTGAGTTTATGCTATATTTACTTTACCTCTACCCGGTTGGTATGATTTTGTAATTATTCGTTCACTAAACTCTACCAGATTGGCGTAACTTTGTATTATTTTGCAGTCGACCTATTTGTTAAATTATTCATCAAAGTCTATCCGATAGGCATAATTTTTATGTGCAACCACCCCAAATCTGCTTGAAATGATCTCAAATTTAAAACAAAGCCTTCAAATATTAGCATAAACGATCCTCAGTAACAAATTTAGTCAAATAACTCCAAATCAAGAAGACTCACTTTGTCTTTTTAAACATTTTCAAAGGACCAACAATGTAGTTTTTAAAATTTTAAAGTAAATCACTAAATTAGTGGTTAAAGTAAAAGTTTAAGTATGAATAATCAACATTCAAATGATTTTAACAATAATTAATCATTAACTTCAAATTTTTACCTCCAAAATTAAAGATTTACGGTGTTCTTAGCGAAGAAGAAGAGACGGAGAAGAAGGAGCTAAAGGGGCAAATATATCATTTGGCACTATGGCTGTCCAACAGGACGGGATGGGACGGGACATGACAGAATTAACGGGACGGGACGACATTTAGCCGGGACGGGACGGGACAAACGGGACGAAACGGTAGTCCCATCTAGTCCCGCTAACAAACGGGACGAGACGGGTTCGCGGGCCTTAAGTGCCGTTTTAAAAAAAATTTATTTAAGCATTGAGTTTGGAAACCGCTATTCTTTTGACAATGACTAAGTTTTTAAAGTTTGCAACAACTAGTTTTTTGAGTTATTTAATAAACTTAAAAATTAAACGGAAATTAGAAAACTAAGTAAAGAATTATAAAATATTAAAACAAAAGACTTGTAATGAAATATTCTAGTAATTATAAATTTATAATAGAGTTATAATTTATTTAATATAATTTCAAGCCATTAAGTAACTAAGTAAGAGTGTAAGACAATTCATAAAAACAATTCAACGCTTAGAGCCTTTTATTTTATTAATAGAACTTTCAAATCTCACATACAAATATAATTCTTTTGAAGAGCACCTAATCTACGCAGCCACCTTCTAGGAAGGGTTCTGTTTGAACTAGGCCTCTTAGTAGCCAATTACAAATTATCATACTAATATTTGTAAGCTCCTATATAACTTCGTTGTAACTTATCTATAATTTCTCTCGGACATTGTTCTTGAATTGGCAATGTTGATTGATGTTCCATGAGTTCCATGCCGTCATAGCTCCCGGTGCTAAGTATCTCATTGTATTCTTCTTCTTCCCTAGTTTCACCGCTTGTTGTTTCCATAGATTTTTTTTTATCAAACATTGATCTAACATAAGAATATATGTTAGCTTGGCAGTCTTCGAGAGATGGTTGTTCATTTTCTAGAATTGCTAAATTCTCATAAATTTTACGAACAAGTCCATTTGCACCTCTTAATTTTAAAGATGGGTTAAGTATAGTAGAAACTAAATAAACTTGGGGAATAGGAAAAAAAATACTTTTTAAATTTTGCAATCATTTCATTAATGGCCGGTGCATAAGTTGGATTAATTTTGCAATCATTTCATTAAGCTAGTTGTTGCAGTTGTGTTAGCACTTAGCAGAAGCATTATCTAAGGTGATAGTTAAAACTTTATCAATGAATCCATAAAAATCAATAATTTGTAGAACAATAGTTGCAATATATGCTCCATTGTGTTTTGAATCAACAAATTTATAACCAATAATACGTTTTTGCATGTTCTAGTGATGATCAACCCAATGACATATAACAGTTAAATAATCACAACCGTTAGGACTACGACCTATATCAGATGTGATAGACACTTTACAATCTAAGTGAAACATTACACAACGAATATATTGAAGATATTTGGTTTGAAATTTAAAAACATCGTTTCTAACCGTGGTCTTAGGAAAACCTTGAAAACCAGGATTATAAGTTTCTTGTATATAATGCATAAAAAAAATAGGACGCGGGACAGGCGGGACGGGACGGGACAGGCGGGACGAAACGGGACGGGACAAACGGAACGAAATGGCCATCCCGTCCCATCCCGTCCCATCCCGTGTCCCGTTTAACATGGGCCCATCCCGTTTAGAATTAAGTGGGACGAGACGGGACGGGACGGGACGCGGGACGGGTCTCGTCCCGTTGGACAGCCTTATTTGGCACACAAAGAAAAGATGAGTATTTATTAAAAACTTTAGTTACATAGATATTCAGCTAAAATCAGTCTCATTGGAGGACAACCACATAATTTTTCTAAATAGAAGTTGGCTAAGACAGGGTCAAGCAGAAAGTTTTACATACTTCATTTTATTTCTGCTTTCTGCTCTCTCTCTCTCTCTATATAAAATAGAGCTACATCACAAATTCTAACTAAAAGAAATAAAATGCTTGATGGATGAAACATGTTGGCTGACGTGGTTAATTAGGATAAAGGGGTGAGAGTGCATGCTTTAAATAAGTTTACTTAGTTAATTATCATTTATGCATAAATAGTTAATAAATGCTTATTTATTAATTCAGTAAATTATTCAAATATAATTAATTATTAGTATATAATTATTGAATTTTCAGATAAACAAAGAACATTAATCTTGTGAAGGATTAATGTGATTGTCTGTATGTGTCATAAGATATAAGCCAATATGATCCGTCCCCAGTGCCGGCTCTAATATTGTACTAGTTAATAAGGCAAGCCTTAGGCCCCCAAATTTGGGAGCCCCAATTTTTTTTTTATAGATATAATAGGTTTATAAGTATTTAAAAAATTAATATTTAATATCTTTTTTTCATATAAAGGAGAATTTTTCTTGCTATGTAAATACAATAACTGTTTAGCTTACTTAAAAATGGATAGTATGAATATTTAACATGTGAATTGACATCGATTTGCTAAGGGAAATAGTATAAGTTAAAGATAGTACTTTAATCGACATACTCAATTAAATAAAAAGATTTTTTTTCTTCCAATGCTTATATTGCTTATAGATTACTATTAGCATTTCTCATAACATTTGCCTCAGCGAAATAAGTTTTTCAAAATTAACATTATTGATCTTAGCTAAGATCAATAATGTTCCAAGAAAGATTAAATGAGTTGCTATATTAGTTGAAAAGAAATTATTTAAAAAATTCATTATAAAAATATTATTAAAAACATAGCATCTCAAAAATCTAGAAGAATAGGCTTCAAATAGAAAATCGTAACTTTTTAAAAAAAAAATTTAGGCCTCACGTTAAACTTTGTTTTTATGCCACATATATGCTTGAGCCGCCCCTTTCCGTCCCTAGTCTATTATAGTTTTTGACGAATTTGATCTTTAATACGTAAAACATTTGTGACAGATTAAGAAATTATCTTTTATCTCTATTTGTGATGGACCTTTCTTCACAAATTAGTCAATAATTTTGTGGCTCGATTATTTATTCGTCACAAGAATTTGTGACGTTCGAAATTGTGAAACCTAATAATCCATCACAAATCAGTCACACTTAACTTTTTCTTGTCTTGCATTAATGAGTTCAAGAATGTTGTGGTAATGGAGATGAGGTAGACTAGACAGTGAATCTAAAATTGACAAAGAAGGTGATAGAAAATTCCATATACCGTGTTGAATATTCTAATATTAGGACTTTTTTTCTTCACATTATTGTTTCAATCTATCTGTCCTCTTTCATTTAGTGTCATGAATTTTCTTTCTCCAAAATTTTGCAGGAAAGCAAAGGTAGAAGGAGACTTGGACTTAGTGAGCCCATGGTCGGAAAAATTACCATTGCTTGTCTAGAAGATAGACTAGACAGTGAGTCCAAGCAAAGAAGGAGATTATTCAAATTAGATGATCCCTTACGTTTGACGTTTGAGAGTAAGTATAGTTGTGGGGACATTATTTCAGTTTTTCTCCAAAATTTGCAGGAAAGAAAAAGGTTGGTGAAGATAAAATTTCGGTGAACCAATGTTTGAGTATTCTTTAGGTGTCAACTTCAACTTTCAGCTCTTGTTTTGTGTCTTTGGAAATTTTACCATTGCTTAGTCAAGGAAATAGACTAGATAGTTGCAATGAGTCCAAGCAAAGAGTTGTTAGGGTTCACCCTGAATTCTATCATAATTTTTTTTTTTTTTTTGTAAAGAAAAATGATTTTCTTGGTGGAAAATAGTTCTTAGTGGAAAAGGACTCTTCCATATTTAGCTAATTTTTTTTTCTTTGAGGAGAAATTTTGCATTTTCATAAATTGAGGCTTCCTTCTTACATAATTATAAATAACAGTATCCACAACGTAGTCAGTAAAAGAGTCTCTCAATAAAATGTAACGACCCGATCGGTCGTTTTGGGCATTTACGCTCTTTTCTACTATTTGAAGTCTTGAATAGCTTCATATAATATATTATGACGTGTGAATCGTCGGTTTTGGCTTTTCAGGTGTTTCACAATTAGTTCGGAAGAATGAATTACATGTTTGAAGCTTTAAGCTGGAAGAGTTGACCAAGTTTGACTTTTTAGTATTTTATCCCGGAACTAAGTTTTGATGGTTCCGTTAGGCTCGGATGGTGATTTTGGACTTGGGCGTATGCTCAGGATTTCATTTGGATATTTCTAGAAGATTTCGACACCAATTGGCGAAAGTTGGAAACTTGAAGGTTTGGAATGTTCATAAGTTTGACCGGAAGTTGACTTTGATGATATTGGGTTTGGATTGTGGTTCCGAATATTTTAGTAGTTTCGTTATGTCATTTATGATTTGTACGCAAAATTGAGTTCATTC